TTTTTTTTTTTTTTTTAGTGGTTGAGTCTGCAAGCCTCAATTTTTCCCATTAGCTCGGGTATCATCATGTTACATATCCCAATTTATACACATTCTTTGTTAAACGAGCTCTTAAATCGATCTGAAGCTATATATATCAACTACTACCTCCTATTCTTTTTAAATGTCATTTTAGCTTTATCAACTATTAACCAAATAAATGTCGTTTTAGATCTTTTGTACATGTTTTTTTCATTATTACCCTCATTTAGTCAATAAATACATTACGTCTTTCCATATTCTCTCTTCATTTTTTTCTCAAAATATTCATCTTTATCTTCATTAAATAGAGTTTGACAACAAAAATATTCTTAATTATTGTGCAACTTCTCAAAACGACATTTATTTTAAATAGGAGGGAGTATATTAATTGGCATAATTTTCCTTCAAACAAAATTTCATTATAATATGTGAATATATTAAATAAAAAAAAAACTCTCCATTCATTGAATGTTGCATATAAGTACGCATTTTGTCACTGGTCCAAGAATTTCACTTTAATTTAACTCACATATAAAAATAAAAAAAAAAACGATGATAATAATAATAATAAACATAAAAGTAAAAACTAGCTATTGTCATAAGCTCATCATCAATGTCAAGTCGCTTTTACAATTCAATCCCCAAAAATCTCACAAGAAGAGTACTTCCACGCCATGCCCTTTTCCCATTTCTTTTCAATTCTTTTAAGACCTCCTTTAACCTTCCACACACACTCACACACACACTTCATACTTACACACACACAGATATATATATATATATATATATATATATATATATTAGTACAGTACCAGTGTACTACACGGGATTTGAATTAAAAAATATATTATAAAAGTTATTGCTAAATAAAAAATTTTATTAAAAATTTTGATGGACTAATTAATGAGAAAAAAAGAATAAACCGTGCATAAAGTGATTTGTAAATATAAAATCGTAATTTAGAAGAAAAACATGGAAGAAAATTATGAGATGGTAAAATTGTTACTTGCCCAAATTAAGAAAGAAATTCGTATTAAGAGGAAAAAAATAACAAAACTAAATGTACACTTACTAAGTTTAAAAAAAGTTATTTATGTCTATACCAAGCTTCATTCCAAAGCAAAAAATTAATAAAAAAATACATTCCGAAACATAAATTTTTGTCATGTTAGCATTCGAAGCGTGTAAGTCTGCCATTTAGGCTCAGCATGTTCTGAATTAATATATATGGAGGGATATATATATATATATATCCAACTCATTAAAAAAAAATAAATAAATAAATAAATAAATAAATAAAAAAGAAAGAAGGGAAAATGACAAAACAAAACAAACTCAAATCCGTGCCTTCTCTTCCTTTTGTTTCCTTGTCAAGTCCCTATCTATGAAAACTCACAAAATGAAAATAATAATAATAATAATAATAATAATAATAATAATAATTAATAAATAAAGGGGTGTCTATATGTACACCCCCTCAAGTGTAAAAAAGGGGTGTACATATAGCACTTTTCTTTGTATAATTTATTAAAAGGGGGTGTACATATAGCATTGCCCTAAATAAAAACCACACACACATGACACATACATATGTATCTCGGGCCTAGAGAATTCCCTTTGACATATAACTCATCAACTAACGTACCACGTTCGGTCATTTCATTCATCAAAAGTCCACCATTTTCTTTTTTTTATTTACTTAAATTAACTCATCAAATCTTCCTTTAAATTCCCCTACTTCTCTACCACACACACACACACACACACACACACGTCAAATTATGTGGGTTTTAGAATGTAACAATAACCATGGCCAAAACCCGACCCGTACCCGAATACATGACCCGAACCCATTTCCACCTCATTGTTTTTACACTCACAACACTAACCTCCCCACTTGGAACAAAACCCTAACTCTAGGTAATATGCATTCTCATACTATATATGAATCTCCTATTATTATTATTATTATTATTATTATTATTATTATTATTATTATTATTATTATTATTATTATTATTATTATTAATTCACTTTGTTTTTTGTTTTTTTGAAGGTGATTATGTAGGTAAAAGAGAGATGACAAGCAATAATATGGCGCCATTAGTGAGCTCGAGATGGAACCCGACTAGCGAGCAAGTGCAAGCCCTAGAAGAAATGTATCGACAAGGGATTAAAACGCCGTCGGCCCAACAAATACAGCAAATCACCGCAAAACTTAAAAAGTTTGGAAGAATCGAAGGCAAAAACGTGTTCTATTGGTTTCAGAATCATAAGGCTAGAGAAAGGCAGAAGAAGCGCCGGCTGCAGGCGGCCAAGGACAAAATGCGCGGTTTTGAGATGATCGAGCCCGAAAATAAACAACCCGGTATACTTTTTATTTTATTTTTTCATTAATATGATTATTATGTATTTTTTCATGCATGTTTTTTTTATGCACATTACATTAAGGAAGTCAATCTTGAACAATTAATTTTGACCTCATACTCGCATTATTATTATATTGTTAATTATGCATGCTCGTTCTTGTTGAGAAACAATTAATGTGATTTAATGGCGTAATATAGTATTTAAAAAAACAAAAAAGGTCAAAATTAGGAAGTTGTCATATTAAAACTAGGATTTAATTTCTTGGTTAATTTCGTTGAATAATTAATGTATCATAATTAATGTATCCTAATTAATTAGGAAGTTTTGACACGTTTTTTTTTTTCGTTGAATAATTATATAATGTAGTATCATAGTTTTATTTATATTAAAATTTTAAGAAAATTGATCATTTACAGGATATCTGGAAACCAAACATCCTAAGAGGTTGCTTACGCCCTCAAGCTGCACCACAACTTCAGAGGTAATCAAAGTTAAATTAATTACATTCTCAAGCATAATTAGTTAATCACAAATAATTGTAATTAAATTAATTACACCCTGAACACAA